TGTTTGGATTCAAAGTCTTCATCCTTCTGTTTCGGCTCCACTCCCTTCCCCACCCTGACTTTCCCAAGCAGAAGATGAATCTTCAATTTCCCAGATGAACTAGCCCTCCAGCTCAACAAACTATTTTAGAAACAAAAAAATGTCATAAGGTCTTGGGAACAAAGGAGCTTTAGAATCATCTGGAACATTGATGGCCAAGTATCAACTCAATGGGCAACTAAGTCCCCTGCAGAGCTGTTGTGTTTGATCTGCAGAACATGCTTTTTAAAAAATGGGCCAAAGCATGAAAAAGAATAGATGTTACATATGAACCCAGATTTCTGGTTTTTCTTGAAAAGAAATGAATAATCAGGTGATTTGTCAACGTGATCAGCAGGTGCCCAGCAGACAAAGGCGGATCTGGTTGCTCCAGTATGCAGTCTCCAATGCTCCCTAATGTCTTCTAAGCAGAGAGGAGCAGTGGGTGTGTTTATTACTGCCCTTGCTTTATTCTTCTTCTTATGGTAGACAAATACCTCTCTATACCTACAGCTACAGAAGTTGGAAACAAAAGGTAAAAGAGCTGAGTTCCAAGAAATACTATGGCAGTGTACATACAGCAGCTTAAGTTCATGGTCTCCTTCCACTCGCAGGCTCTTAACAAGTACACTTCCTATCTTAAACATGAGTTTAATGTAAACAGAAAACTGACTTGCTCATTGCCACAGATGAATGCAGGTTTAAGTCTAGACATAGGGCTCTTGACTGTCAATCTAGGTCTCTTTCACCGTACTCCACTGCACAGTAATCTTACGAGATGACAAGACTATGAAAATATAAACACATACACAAGGAGAATATATATGAGCACTTAGGGATACAGACACATCCACTTTAGCTTAGAAAGAAGTATTAAATACAAGGAAACAGACTTGAAATATTTAACCCACTTCCAACTAAAATGTGGGCAATGCCTTCATTGATTACCAAAGAATGGGAAAGTAAATTATATCAGATTCCCTAAGGGTTTGTTTCCTAATGAGATATTTTTTTAATAATTCCACTGCTTTAAGCACAAAAGAAATTCTCACAAATATCACACCTATTTCTGAAGACTACAAAAGTACTCAGTTAATGTCTTAAAACTGTTTAAATACTGTTTATGTTGGGGGGGGGATCTCCTTTAATAAGCAACTTGAATACACCACTGTAAATAAGCTTATGTACAAAGGCACCAACACTGTAATAAATGAATAATGTTCAACTCCAAGGTCTTAGTGGGAGTTATGCCATCCATCCAAGCATTTATTGATTCATTCACCCAGCAAATATTTACTGAACTCTACATTCCAGGAAGTGTGCTCAGTAAGTAAGGTAAAATGATGAACAAAATTCAGTCCTTGCTGTTCAGTTTCTCTCTGGTTAAAAGGAAGAACTGTTGCTGTTGGTGCGCACTGTGGAGTCAGAACACACTCATAGCTGACCCACCAGTGGGTTTTCAGAGGTAGTTAACTGTATGGAAGGAGAATACCCATCTTTCTCCCATTAAGCAGCTGGTGGATTCAAATGGCATACCTTTGTGTTGACAGCACAATTCCAAACCACTAAGCCACCAAAGCTCCCTTAAAAGGCAGAACGAGACATTTTAAAAGAATATTATAAAACAGTAAGTAAATGTGATCACTCGGGCATAAAGAGGTGTTACAGGAATATTGGCCAGGGGCCCCTTATGTGGCAAAGGTGGAGAGATGCTCCCAAATGTGGCCTGAGGAAATGGTAAAGCATGGTTAGGATGGACGAGGCTGGGGAAGAACGAAGGTGATGGTGGGAATTCCAGGCACCACGATGGTACAGGCACAGACAAAGAGGGGGGACCAGCATGGAACATTCACGTTTCCACAGAGTTGAGTTGTACAAATGACTAGCATACTTGGCTGCTACAGAAGGGTTGGATGTTCAAGTCCACCCAGACGTGCCTTGGACAAGAGGCTTGGTGACATAATTTTTAAAAATCAGCCACCTTAAACATTTACGAGCAAGTTCTACTCTCACATACATGAGATGGCCAAGAGTCAGAACTGATTCAGTAACAATGAACACTGCTGCTATTTTAACCATTCTTACTGTGTTTACTAATCCCTACACTCTGCTAGGACACCATAAATGTGCTCTTTTTATTTTAAATAACTAAAAACAAGTGCAATATGCTACCAGCCAGGATGGCAAGTGGGGAGTTAAAAAGGGCTCCCTGGGCTCTCTGTCCAATGTGCACTCTTAAGTCACTCACTCACTCACTCACTGTCAGCGAGTCAGTTCCCTCTCACCGAGTCAGTTCCCTCTCACCGAGTCAGTTCCCTCTCACCGAGTCTCCCCATCAGATTTCCCAGGCTGTCAATTAAACATCAGGAGTCCGCCCAACTTTCCTGTCCAGAGCTGGGAGATTCCAATCGGTGGATACACGCAGCCCTGGGGTTTGACAGTGCATCTCACTGTGTTCTACGCCTCCAGCACTCCCTCTGTGTGTTACACACATGTCTTCAGACAAACTAAAGTGGTGTCCAGTCTCTGTTTCAACAACAGACCAGAGGCCTCGCACACACCAGTGTGAGGTCACTCTCACACAACAGAAGGGCTTCTGGGTAACATTTTGTTATCAAGGTGGCCTTCGAGGAACAGCTCCAAGAAACACAGCACCTTGATCAGGTCCTGATCGCCTGCCAAAGGGCAGGACCTTGCAGATCAATGCAATACCTGGAACCCTGACAAGTCAGCTGAGCACTTCTCCTTCCAGATTTCCACTTTGTGGTCATATAATGGCCTGAGCAATGAGGCCAAGAATGGCAAAGTAAACGTTGTTTACCACAAAGATGACAGATCAAAGCAAGCTGGGTCCCTGAATGGAGAGCCCACAAAGCTCTATCTCCCTGACCTCCGCGGGTACTGCCAGGTGACCTTTAGAAAGTCTAGCCCAGAGCAACCCATGGAGGCTTTAGGATTAGTGCAACCTTTCAGACTGCCAACCCCAACAGCAATCCACAGTACCCCTCTTCAGAGCACGGAGACGCTCAAGTGTCCCCTTCACCCAAAGGTCCTCCACGGGAGCCATAATGCCACTTTGAAAGTATATAAAAGCAGATATCTAGGAAAGTTCAAAACAGTAATTTGCTCCTCTGCTAGCCCTCCATTTTCAGGAAATCTGTTATTTCCTGCAGTAGTTATATCTTTTCTAAAACCAGCCTTCTTCTCTCTCTGAAGTCATCCTTCAAAGGAAATCACCAGATTTATAAGAGGCCATATCAAAGTCTGCGCTGTCTCTTCTCTCACCTGTATCCTCTGTCCAGGCGGGACTCGCTCCTCAGTCTCACATACAGGGTCTGGCACACAAGCAGTGTCTACTGAAGGGAATGAG